TGTAATTTTCCTTCCAAACTAACAAAAATACAAAAATCCCTAAAAATTCGAAAATTCATGTTTTTATGACAGGCTAGATTTCAATGTCCTCAACTGTATATTGAAAACACAAATGTCATTTGACTTATGGCATATGTATTTGTGGTTGCCACATCCAACCAATTGTACTTATTGATCAATATTATTGAAGATTTGACGAAGATTTAACATAAATCTACTGCATTTCGAGATTTAATTTTATATGGTAAATCTCAAAAGATTTAACGTCAAATCTCGTCAGAGGGCTAAATCTTCATTAAATCTCACAATGGAGACATAGTACAACGTTAAATAATTTTGTAATAAGTTCCATGAGTTGTATAAAAAAGTGCACAAATTGCATGCTATAATTTAGAGTAATTTGATTCTTTCTAAAGAAATCGATATAGAAATTTAAATGCTGGCTTATACCCAAAAATACTTAATGAATAATATTTATAAGTTATATTCTATTTTTAGGACTAACTTCCTATTTATATGAAAGAAGTCTGATGAAGAAATGTGGTGATTTCCGAAATAACTATCACTTCTACCATTTTTTCAAATTTTTGTTGCTTTTCCACAATAAGTTTTTCATTAAAAACGGCCTCAAGCACAATAAAAATTGTTGAATATAATTGTTATAAGACCATAAAATAACAAAAACAAATAACTTAAGGACAAAATAACAAAAAAAAACAGTTCAACATTTTAATAATAGAAATATTAACCAACAACCACATGATCAAGTTTAAATAGCACTGGAATAGCCGCGTTTGATTATAGTTGGCTTAACAAATGAAATAGTGGAAAAAAGCAACAAGAATTGACAAGGCGAACTTAGCACAGTGCGTAGGCAACTGGCTGAGTCAGTGGGATCGTCGGTTCGAATTCTACTGAAAAAAGTCTGATGAGGAAATGTGGTGATTTCCGAAATAACTATCACTTCTACGATTTTTTCAAATTTTTGTTGCTTTTCCACAATAAGTTTTTCATTAAAAACGGCCTCAAGCTCAATAAAAATTGTTGAATATAATTGTTATAAGACCATAAAATAATAAAAACAAATAACTTAAGGACAAAATAACAAAAAAAAAAAAGTTAATCATTTTAATAATAGAAATATTAACCAACAACCACATGATCAAGTTTAAATAGCACTGGAATATCCGCGTTTGATTGTAGTTGGCTTAACAAATGAAATAGTGGAAAAAAGCAACAAGAATTCCCAAGGCGAACTTAGCACAGTGCGTAGGACATGGCTGAGTCAGTGGGATCGTCGGTTCGAATCCTACTGAAAGAACTCTGGTGAGGAAATGTGGTGATTTCTGAAACAGCTATGACTTCTACCATTTCTTCAATTAAAAACGGCCTCAAGCTCAATAAAAATTGTTGAATATAATTGTTATAAGACCGTAAAATAACAAAAACAAATAACTTAAGGACAAAATAACCGAAAAAAACAGTTAAACATTTTAATAATAGAAATATTAACCAACAACCACATGATCAAGTTTAAATAGCACTGGAATAGCCGCGTTTGATTGTAGTTGGCTTAACAAATGAAATAGTCGAAAAAAGCAACAAGAATTGACAAGGCGAACTTAGCACAGTGCGTAGGCAACTGGCTGAGTCAGTGGGATCGTCGGTTCGAATTCTACTGAAAAAAGTCTGATGAGGAAATGAGGTGATTTTCGAAATAGCTATCACTTCTACCATTTTTCCAAATTATTGTTGCTTTTCCACAATTAGTTTTTCAATAAAAACGGCCTCAAGCTCAATAAAAATGGTTGAATATAATTTATATGAAAATAATAAAATGTAAACACTGAAATCATCTGGCCGGCCGGCATTTCAAAGATTTGATTCCAATAAAATTGTGTCCAGGTAATAAACAAATGAGTGGAACCTATTTAATTTTTTTACAATTTTACAATAACTAAATTTTTCGTATGGAAAATTTTCTAAATATAAACTAATAGTATTAGTTACTAAAAACTTCCACGATTCACTATTCCACTATACGAATGAGCAAAATAGGGCGAAAGACACATGCACGAAAAATACCAATTTTAGCACATTTATAAAAACGTGGCGACCATAACTGAGCGCGACGTACTAATACCACGACAAAATGAGTCTCTGTTGGTGTGCCCAGCATTGATTTAAATAAATACGCGAATGATTATTATTGTGACACTTCTTTATTTCGCTATTTAGTTGGCAGCGTTTTCACCATATACTCTATATTATATTATATAATGTATTTCTTTGGCTGCGTTTTCACGTCATACCATATATATAAATAGTACTTGGCAGCGTTTTCACGTCACACCAATAAAACCTATTCCTTTGGCAGCATTTTCGCGTCACTCCAATATACCTTAGCTAACTACTGAGCAACTTGAAGCCTGATTATGGCATTTTAACGGAACGTAGAACTTAGAGAATCAAAATGAAACAGATTTCGACGTGGCATTAAGTTACGGTACACACGTTAAGAATTTTAGTGGGACCCGGCCGGGCTCGGCCCGGTACGACGGGACACGTCCCAGCCCGGAAATAATGAGCCAACTATTATTGTATGTATATATGTAGTAAAACAGTTTTTATTTCTATTAATTTTAACAGTCTTTAGCGTTTATTTTACACTCACATTTCAGAAGATTAAAGAATAAGGGCGAACTACGCTTGAAGGCGGTTGGTTTAACGATGAATTTCTGTCCTGTCGTTCATCTTGTCGAAGTCTAGTTTGGTGTGTGTTCAGTGCGGTCCGATCGTTCGTTTCGTAGTCTGGTGCGCATGGTTGCATTCGTCCACAAAGGTATGCCTGTCAGGTCCGTTCCTTTAGTCCGTCGTTCCAATCCCACATTCGGCCATCCTGCGCGATCATTCGGCCTCGGGTGAGGCTGAGTCAGTGGGATCGTCGGTTCGAATTCTACTGAAAAAAGTCTGATGAGGAAATGAGGTGATTTTCGAAATAGCTATCACTTCTACCATTTTTCCAAATTATTGTTGCTTTTCCACAATTAGTTTTTCAATAAAAACGGCCTCAAGCTCAATAAAAATGGTTGAATATAATTTATATGAAAATAATAAAATGTAAACACTGAAATCATCTGGCCGGCCGGCATTTCAAAGATTTGATTCCAATAAAATTGTGTCCAGGTAATAAACAAATGAGTGGAACCTATTTAATTTTTTTACAATTTTACAATAACTAAATTTTTCGTATGGAAAATTTTCTAAATATAAACTAATAGTATTAGTTACTAAAAACTTCCACGATTCACTATTCCACTATACGAATGAGCAAAATAGGGCGAAAGACACATGCACGAAAAATACCAATTTTAGCACATTTATAAAAACGTGGCGACCATAACTGAGCGCGACGTACTAATACCACGACAAAATGAGTCTCTGTTGGTGTGCCCAGCATTGATTTAAATAAATACGCGAATGATTATTATTGTGACACTTCTTTATTTCGCTATTTAGTTGGCAGCGTTTTCACCATATACTCTATATTATAATATATAATGTATTTCTTTGGCTGCGTTTTCACGTCATACCATATATATAAATAGTACTTGGCAGCGTTTTCACGTCACACCAATAAAACCTATTCCTTTGGCAGCATTTTCGCGTCACTCCAATATACCTTAGCTAACTACTGAGCAACTTGAAGCCTGATTATGGCATTTTAACGGAACGTAGAACTTAGAGAATCAAAATGAAACAGATTTCGACGTGGCATTAAGTTACGGTACACACGTTAAGAATTTTAGTGGGACCCGGCCGGGCTCGGCCCGGTACGACGGGACACGTCCCAGCCCGGAAATAATGAGCCAACTATTATTGTATGTATATATGTAGTAAAACAGTTTTTATTTCTATTAATTTTAACAGTCTTTAGCGTTTATTTTACACTCACATTTCAGAAGATTAAAGAATAAGGGCGAACTACGCTTGAAGGCGGTTGGTTTAACGATGAATTTCTGTCCTGTCGTTCATCTTGTCGAAGTCTAGTTTGGTGTGTGTTCAGTGCGGTCCGATCGTTCGTTTCGTAGTCTGGTGCGCATGGTTGCATTCGTCCACAAAGGTATGCCTGTCAGGTCCGTTCCTTTAGTCCGTCGTTCCAATCCCACATTCGGCCATCCTGCGCGATCATTCGGCCTCGGATGATGGGTCCCACCTTTTCATGAACTCAGCGACTGTGATGGTGCGGTTCGGGCCTTCGTGGTCCCCGACCTTCTCGACCGTGTAGCGTCCACGTCTCATAATTTTCACGACCTTATATGGCCCAAGGTATTTGGCTTTCAGCTTTAGACCCGACCCGTACTGCGTTCGCTTGATGGCTACTAGCTCGTCGGTTGTGTACTCGGTCTCGGCTTGTCGGTGTCGGTCGTACGACCTTCGGTTCTCCGCTTGGATCATGGCGATGTTGTCCCTTGCGCGGTGATGCCCCTCATCTCTTTCCGCATCCAGCTCGTCGATGGCTTCGCCCTCCAACAGCTCTTGCAGCTGAGGAATTCCCTTGACTCGCATCTCTAGGCCGGTGAGGATCTTGAACGGCGAGACCTTGGTGCTACGCGGCGGAATGTTGTTGATGAATTGCTGAACGCGATCAACTTGCTTATTAGTTCCCGGGAGTCTCGCGGCTCAGTTTTGCGATCATTGGCACTACTACGCGGTGTATCCGCTATACCTGACCATTGCCACGAGGCACTCCCGTCGCTGTGAGCAAATGCTCTATCGCCTCGTCCGCGCAGTAATCCTCAAACCGGTTGGAGGTGAAAGCGGCACCTCTGTCGGTGATGATCCGCTTGGGATTCCCAAACAGTGCTGATTGCTTCCTGAGTCGATCTACCACAGCTTCCGCGTCAGTACCTTTCGTCGGGTAGAGCCACACGAACTTGGAGAATGCGTCTATCACGACCAAGATATAATTGTACGCCTTCCTTGTTGTTTCCATCGGTCCCACGTGATCAATGTGGAAGGTTCCCAAAGGTCTGTCCTCTTTATTTATGGGATTTAAGTAGCCTTCCTTTTTACCCGCCTCGGAGCCGGTAACTATGCACGGTATGCAGCTCCTGACGACCTTCGCAACTTTGGTATTGAGCTGCAGTATGAAAAACGTCTTCTCGACCGCATCTTGCGTGGCCTTGCTGATACGCCACCTTGATGACCTCCTCCTCCATTGCTGACGGCATCACCACGAGTTCCTTGATGGGATCCTTGTGTAAGATGTCGTGCTGGACGTAGAAGTCCTCGAAATCGCCTCTCTAGAGCGCTTTGCGAACGGCTCGAACCCAATCATCTTGCTGTTGTGCCTGCTCCAGCCGGTGACGCTGAGAATCTTCCAGGATCAGGCACGATACTCGACTAAGGGCGTCGACATGACGCATCTTCGGTGTTCGATTGTGTAGTTGAAGTCCTGGAGGAACATTGCCCCACGCGAAACTCGGAGAGTAACGTCTTTCTTCTTCACGGTCATCGTGAAGGCGTTGCAATCCGTGACGATCTTGAATCGTATGCCCAACAGGTATACCCTTCACTTCTTCAATGCTTCGACAACAGCCAATACCTCCAACTCGTAGGAATGGAGCTTCTCCTCCGAAGGCTTCGTCTTTCGGCTCATATATTGAACCAGGTGAAACTCCTGGTCGTCGACGTCCTTCTGCAACAGGACTGCGTCGTAGCCAACCATGCTCGCATCAGTATGCTCTTCCGTTACCGCTCGCGGGTTGTATAGTCTTAAGACTGGAGCGCTTGACAGCGCTGACTTTAGCTGCTGAAACGCGGCTAACTGGTCATCCTGCAGTGAGAACCTCGCGTCCTTGCGGAGTTGTCGACGAATCTGCGGAAATACGACGTGAGTCCAAGAAAACATTGCAAGGATTTCCTATCGTTTGGTAAAGGAAAATTCCTAATCGTGCTGGTTTTTGCTTCGGATGGCTGTATTGTGTTGTCCGTGATAATGTATCCGAGGAACTCGACCTTCTTCCTTAGGAACTGACATTTGTTCCACTTAACGCGCAAACCTTTCGCCGCGGCAACGCTCAATACTAGCTCTGGATGCCCTCGACTTCATCCTTGGAGGGAATGATCAAGTCATCCATGTACACCACGACTGTGCCGCTACGTACCAAGTCATTCAAAGCTCCGGACACAAACCTCGTAAAGACTGCCGGCGAATTGGATATGCCAAATAGCACGTACAAGAACTCGAACTGTCCGCTGTGCGTTACGAACGGGGTATACTTCCGCGGGTCTGCTTCCACTGGAACATGGAAGAACCCGTTCATTAGGTCAAGCGTGGAGAAAACGTTGGCTCCCAGCAGCTGCTCGATAACATCGTCGATCATCGGCATCGGGAAGTTGTCGCGGACGATTTTCTCGTTTAGGCGCCGATAGTTGCAACAGAGACGTTTGCTCCCATCCTTCTTGGCAACGAGAACGACGGGTGATGCATAGTTTGAGTTGCTTGGTTGTATAATAGCCTCGACTAGCCAGACCGCTACCTGTTCGTCGACTATCTGCCGATCCGCATATGACAATCGCCTTGGCCGTTCAAATACCGTGACATCGTCTGTCAACAAGATCTTCATCTCCACTGGGGATGCGGAGTTCTTAGCTGGCTTGTAGGCTGCTACCAAACTCCGTACCTTGTCTGCTCGCTCCTCACTCAAATGGAGGAGATCCATTTCATGTTCTTCGTCCTGTTCCGATCCTGCCATCATACAAAGATTTCCGAACGCCACCTGCAGCTCGCTGATTCGACTCGAAGGTCTTTCATCGAGGGACTAGGGACTGCGCACGTTCCGCGCCTCGCTCGTTTACGCTCGCCTTGCCTGGGATCACATGCTCCCGTGAGGATCGTCCGATCTCACAGCCTCTCTCGCTGACATCGTACCCACTGACACCTTCTCACATCTCATCATACCTATGCCGAACTCAGACCGCATCTGGCTGTCTAGCACTCTCTCGGAGTCTCCCAGCTGCGTCCTTGATAGCTTTGCAGACGAATTCCAAATCCTCACTGATCGAGTCTTCAAGACCCTCCTTTACCTGCCTACTGGCTACAACCTCACGCGCCACTGCACCTTCGCATGGATCTGCTCCGTCTCGTCCTGCACCAGCGTAATTGCCGGCTACTGCCTTGCGCTCGAGTGCATCCTCGCGCCCGCTGGGCTCTGTCTCCTTACTCTTAAACACGGCGCCGTCTTCGCTCACGATGAGGTCCACTTGCTTTAGGACGTCATTTCCAATCACCATGGAGTAGCTGAGATCTCGCTCCTTCGTCACATGGAATGTGATGTCCACCGCGATACCATCGATGCGCATGGGTAAACTAAAACAACCGATTGTGGTCAGCGCGCTGTTCCCTATGCCCACCAATATACGCTTCTCTTAATTCCACACCGAAGCCTAGCATCGCCAACGTGTCGTTACGCATTAAGGAAAGGTCTGACCCCGTGTCAATCAATGTCGAAACTGTTCGGTTAGCTAACTCAAAAAATATATATTTACGGAAACAACGCTTGCTAATCGCGCCGCTAACCGCGGGAACTCTGCGACTGCAGAAACGCGAACTCCAAACTCGGAACGCAGTGCTGATTTAGCGAATCCCAACTGCTAATTCCGTTCTGGCTTCTTACGAAAAGTTTTGCCGCGCCCGTTAATAGCTGCTTAGCGTAGATTAGCCTTTGTAGGTCACTCCACTGCACCGCCGTCGCGTTGTCCTCGAAGTCCCCCAGCCACTGCTCGAAGGTGGGTTGACCAAAACCGCTAAACTTCGAAAGCGAGTCTTCTACATGGCGGAGCGTTAAAGTTGGGCGATTAGCTTTGGTTGCTGGAACGCTTCGACCGCTCGCCGCGTCGTTAAAATCGCTACCGTCGTCATCACTAGCGTTTAGGCCGAAGTGTTCGAGGAGTCGGTCCCGTAACGTCGGTTTACGGCCACTAGTGTCAATCCCTAACCCTTCCAACTTTTCCCTCAGTCCTTCTACAGTCAATGCAAAAATTTCGTCGCGGTCCATGTCTACAGAATTTCAAAATTAATGGTTACAATGTAACATTGAGAATGATGTAATATTATAAAAATATATAGTATAATGAACAATGTGTGAACTAACGAACGTATTTAAATTACATGAAATTTGCTTTGCTCAAAACAAACAACAAAGTTATTGACTTAGCTGAGCTACGTATGGTTCTTCTCCCTCGCCGCTGTCTAATTACTCGCTGTACTTCGCATGTTAACGTCCCTCGTTGACGATGCTACCTGCCTCTGGCACCGTTTCACTGTCGCGTTAAACGCCGCTATGTACGCCGCTTCGATGCGTGCGTTTGCTGCACCCGTCCCTCGTTGACGGTGCTACCTTTCTCTGGCACCGTTTCGCCGTCGTGTTAAACGCGATTATATACGCCGCTTAGGAACGTGCACTTGTCACTGCGCACACGTTGCTTTTGCGCACACTTGGCTGTTGCGCGTATTTTGAGGTTGCGCGCAAGCTGCTTATGCGCGCACTTGCTGTTGCGCACGCTTTGCTGCTACGCGCACTTGGCTGCCGCGCACACTTTGCCGCTGCGCACTGTTCACTTCTGCGCACGCTTCTTCGCTGCTCCCACTTTGTTGCGCACACTTCACTGCTGCGCGCACTTTGCTTCTGCGCACACTTCGCTGCCACGTGCGCTTCACTGTTTCGCGCACTTTAACTATTTAACGGGCCCTGCGGTACCCTCGATTGCTGCTACAGCTTGATGGCTGTACCCGGAGCAATGCGCAATATAGCAACTGTATCTTGGGTAACGGACCTAACGGTCCGCGAATGGCGTGGTAAAGTTTTGCTATATACGCGTCGAAAAAGGAGATTTTTATGGCAGAAAGCGGCCCAATCACACACAGTCGAATTCCGCTTAAACGCGTCGCACACGCACGTTGCATGCAGGCGTTTACTATAACAAGGGTTTTTTTATTAAAGTTCAATTTTAGAACGCACTATGCATGTACTCGTCGGTTTGGTCGAGTTGAAATTATTCACGCAACCGAACTTAACCGTTTGTTAGCGTTACTTCGCGAATAGCGGTTTGTGTGGCGTGGCTAGCTCAAATCGCCGTTACTTTTTCCAGCTATAATTTTGCAAAATGTTTTCTTGCATAGTTTTTTTCGTTTATAAATTTGATTTAGTGATCGCAGGTATCAACTTGTGGTTTGAAATTATTAAGTTTTCATTTTCGGCACCGGCTAGCTTATCGCGCACGCACACACAAGAAACATACATACATATGTATGCACACGCACAAAAGTTTTCGCAAAACACACAGTTCTTTCACATTCACGGAGTGGATTTTATGCCACTTCACGACACCACTTTGTAGTAAAACAGTTTTTATTTCTATTAATTTTAACAGTCTTTAGCGTTTATTTTACACTCACATTTCACAAGATTAAAAGATAAGGGCGAACTACACTTAAAGGCGGTTGGTTTAACANTTGTAGTAAAACAGTTTTTATTTCTATTAATTTTAACAGTCTTTAGCGTTTATTTTACACTCACATTTCACAAGATTAAAAGATAAGGGCGAACTACGCTTGAAGGCGGTTGGTTTAACAATGAATTTCTGTCCTGTCGTTTATCTTGTCGAAGTCTAGTTTGGGGTGTGTTCAGTGCGGTCCGATCGTTCATTTCGTAGTCTGGTGCGTATGGTTGCATTCGTCCACAATGGTATGCCTGTCAGGTCCGTTCCTCTAGTCCGTCGTTCCAATCCCACATACATATAAACATATTTTTAATTTTGTGTTTATGTATGTATATTTACTTATCGAATCAATTTTTTACATCAAAGATTTGTATAATATATTTTCTGGGAAGCAGAAAAAATGGAAGGTATTTTATGTACAGATATGTACAGCCCGTCCCAGCCCGGAAATAAAGAGCCAACTTTTATTGTATGTATACATATGTACATATTTTTAATTTTGTGTTTATGTATTATTAATATTTACTTAAGCGAATCAATTTTTTTCATCAAAGATTTGTATAATATATTTTCTGGGAAGCAGAAAAAGTGGAAGGTATTTTATGTACAGATATGTAAACAAAACTACTAAGTAGCTAATTTTTTTCTATCGGTTTCCAAATATTTCTTTTTTTGCTTTTTTCTTATCAAAAGAGTTTGAATATGTACATACTATTTTTTTTTTTTGTGTATGAAAACAAAAGCTTATTTAAATTTGTAGTATTAGCAACGGGCTTTTTCGTGCGGGCCCCTGCCAAAAGCCCGGCCCGTGCCCATCTCTAGTTTAAACGATCGACTGGAGTATACGACTACTCTACGAGAAGTGATTTCTAATTCCACTTGCTGCTCTATTTATATTGTTCTGCACGCAGGCAGACTGTTATCCTAAAGACATTGTTGCTAATATTTTCTCTACTTCCTTTTACTTGTTCATACCTAAGTAGGTATGTATCTACTTCAAATTTCAATATAAATATGTACACATGTATTTCAATTTCACGTATGTATATAACCAACAATTAATTTAATATGTGTAATTCAGACATATATGTATATAACAATTCAAAAATATAATTCGGTTTAGTAAAATAGCCAATTGTGAAGTCCGTGAGTGTAGGTACTAGGGGTCTTCACAATATAAGTGCGGGGGATTTTATCCAGGGGATTTTTGTCGAGGAGATTTTTGTACGGGGGATTTTGTCCGGGTGATTTAAGGCCGGAAGATTAAGTCCTATAGCCTGTCTACATTTGTAGGCTACCGGCCAGGATATAATCATTTTTAAAAGAAGGGTTTTTAAGGTATCGGAAATAATTTTTTTTCCACGCTTCATTGCACAAACTGCTTAGAATTGATTTTGAAGCAACTGGAAAACTCGGACACGGTTGTAGTGGAATTATTTTATTTATTACAAATTTTCAGCGAAAATGCTACAGATGTGGACTACAGAGCACAAGAAGGTTAAACTTAAAAATTGGAGCATTGCATTTAATAAAAAATAATGTTGTTGCCTTTTCAGGTTCTTGCCTGTTTCTATTTCACCTTAAATGGATGAAAGAGGATAATAATAATAATAATAATAATAATAATAATAATAATAATAGATTGGCGCTTACAGTATATTTTGTTTAGCTGCACATCCTTCTTTGCACAAAAAACTTCTGCACCTAACCGAAAAAGCCACTTGGGCGAATTTTCTTTACTACTTCAATGAGGAAGGTATCCGAATCCCTATGAAACCAAATAATGGAGAAGCACTTGCCATGTAGAAATTACTGCAAGCGAAATTTTTACCGATTGCTATCTAATTATATATATAACTACATAAATTGATAGCCACTTTCGTTTTTCTGTGAGATGGGCAAAATAGGACCAGTGCAGGTAAACGTAATACTTTCATTGATAATTGATACTAGTCGCACAATTTTTAAGGCAGGTATCGCCAATGTGCAGGTATGTTGAATACATTTATCGGAGCAGTTTCCTTATAAATTTTAAAAATAATGCCTCTGATGCGCATTTTGGGGTAGGTGTCTTAAATGTGCACTTAAGCATAGAGGCAGCAAAGCAAAATATACTGTATTTATGTACTGTATACTAAACATGTTCAATTTATTTTACAATTGAACATCTTGCGGGCGGTCAATACTGGTGGGAGATTTAAATTGAATTTTTAGTTGGTTGTTTTCTTCCGCATGAATTTCACGTAAACTACTAATAAAATAATAATAATTACTATACATATTATTAAAGATGTGTGACTTTCTTCATCTTACGCCAAATCTCAGGAAACTCGCCTTGCATTTTTGGCCGTTTATGATGTTTATCCCACGTTTTGCCAGAAGGTGGACTTGCCGGGGGCCTAGGAGTTTGCCATTTAACTGTATCAATGGTGTTATTACCCGTTGTGTGATCGATATTTTGTATCTCATCATAACCGCTACCTCCGCGATGACTAGCGTTGTACTGGTACCATAATGTTTGATACTAGACTTCGCATCAGGTTTGCTGGTCACTGATTTATTTAAATTTGCTGCTGTTTTGGATGTAGATTTTAATGAATGCTGCTCAACGTTGCCTCGGTTTTGAACTTCCTTGTCTGGAGATTTATTCAGTACATTTGTTCCAGTAGATTGAGTGTTGTGTGCTCGTATGTTACATCCACCGTTAAGCACAGGGTCAGCGATTTCGCTTTCATCGCCACAATCTTCTCCTGCATTATCTTCTGTTGCATCTTCATACAAGCAAACAAGCATACAAAATAATGCAAGCGAAATTTTTTTCGAATGGTATCTTATTATCTATATAATTACATAAATTGGTAGCCATTTTCGTTGTTCTGCGATATGAGCAAAATAAATACAAGCTTGTAAAATTAGGTAATTGTAGGGCCAGCGCAGGTAAACGTAATACTTTCTTTTATAATTGATACTAGTTGCACAATTTTTAAGGCAGGTATCGCCAATGTGCAGGTATGTTGATTGCATCTATCGCAACAGTTTCCTTATAAATGTTAAAAATAATGTCTCAGATGCGCACTTTGGGGTAGGTATCTTAAATGTGCACTTAAGCATCAAGGCAGCAAAGCAAAATATACTGTACACATATGTACGTGTTTGGCCGAGCTTCTCCTTCGATTTGAGGCGTGCGCCTTGATGTTGTCACACAAAGAGGGGGACCTACAGTTTTACGCCGATTCCGAACGGCGCTTTTATTTTTGTGAGAAGCTGTTTTTTCATGGCAGAAATACACACGGAAGTTTGCCATTGCCTGCCGAGGGGCGACCGCTATTATGAAAATTGTTTTTTCTAAATTTTTTGCGATGTTGCTTTTACCAGGGCTTGAACCCAGGCCCTGCGGAGTGGAAGCGCGCACTGCTTACCACTACCCCACAGCGGACGCCGGAAAAGGATAATTACAAACTAAAAACAGAGTTTCTATTTATTACCTGTGTGTATTGTTAAAGCAATTGTGAAACTCAGTAATCAATTTTTAATGAATAACATGGAATAACTGTCTTATTCGCCCGATTCAGACCGACTATTTAGTTGCTTTCGAATAAAAAAAGTCAAGTGCTTCAACGTTAAAGTCACCAAAAATCACATTCGCTTATGTAATGCAAATAATTTGTAACAGTGATAGTTTTAAGAATTGCCAGAAAGTAATCAACCATAAAAACATCAAAAAAAGTTTCTTCAAAATCTTGGGTTTTAGTAAACACTAAAGCTAATTTATAAATGTAGTAGATGTTTCAAACTCTTTTAAACCTTATGTGAGTAATCTACCAACCATTGAATTTCGAAAGAATATTACATGTAAAATGTGGGAGATGTTTTCCGATTTTCGTGGGTAATTTAACAGCAAATGTTAAATGTTGAGTTCAGGTAGCGAAAACATTGTGCGATAGAAGAAAGTTGCGAACTGTTGAACTGAGCGGAACTATTTAACTATGAGTTTCTAGGACAAACAGTCAACGGCTAGACAAAAGCTAAGTCTTATGAACGCGCCCAATGAGTCACTAATTAGGAGTATAATCAGGAACAAATCGGTGTCTTATTTAATTTAAACATTCAGATGAAGTACAAACCACACACCCGGTACGTGTTCTACAGAAATTCGTATGGAAATAACACAAGGTTAACACCTGATTCATTCAAACTAATTTCCGGTATTTTATCTTACCAAATAATTCACAATAGAATCTATGATACTAGTGCCTGAAGCTTGCAGTAATTTCTACATGGCAAGTGCTTCTCCATTATTAGGTTTCATAGGGACTCCTCATTGAAGTAGTAAAGAAAATTCGCCCAAGTGGCTTTTTCGATTTTTTTTTTATTAAACATTTTCATTATTTATCGAAGTATTGATTTTTATGGAAAAAGCGCCGCAGGCGAAAATTTTAAATAAAAAATCGCGCGAGTTTTTATTAAAAATTTACATTATTCATCGAAGTATTGATTTTTATGGAAAAAGCGGCGCAGGCGAAAATTTTTAATAAAAAATCACGCGATTTTTTATTAAAAATTTTCATTATTTATCAAATTATCGATGAACGTTTTCTACATTAGTGTACTTTGAACTACAATAACACCAGTAAATATTATTTCCACCCGAAAAAAATTATACCGTTATGATCAGGAGTAAGACCCCTATCGATCCTAATAATCTAATTTTTAATAAGAGCAATGTATGTACATACGTATTGTACACTTATACTCCCTAATTATACGCACTTATTTGTGGTGTATTTTTTTTAACGTATGGTAGCATACATTTTGTGTTACTGTCAGCCATTGTTATTTATGCTTGTTTATGAAATGTGCAAACATTTGTGAAGATATTTATAAACGCGTTTTACTTAATTAATTAATTAAGAATTGTATATTGAAGTGGAAATCTCAGGCCGGGGTTTTAATGCAACTATTTTGCCGAAGTGTGTACATAAATATAGTGTTTATTGTGAGAAATAGCGCCGAGAGGTTAGTTCAATTTACAAACTTTAACAACAAATAACTTAAAAACTATAAGCCTGCTGCGGCTAAAAGTATACATATTTGCAATCAGGAGAACTCCCTCTACCGTTCCATAGCTACCTTAATGCGGAACTCCGGGGATGCCAAACTAAATTGCAGCCAAAATATTAAACAAATGCTTCTGAATTTTAACATAAGTTTTACCTTTTACTAAATATTAAAAGCAAAGTTACAATAGTTCAATAGGATTTCGAAATCCAGGAGAAAATGATTCCCAATCGAAAGATTCTTGCACGATTACGTAAATGTATATCGATGCAGCCTTTCCAATGCACAAGACTTTTCGCCATAAGTACGGTATTGATAATATATGACGTTAGCGTAAGCGGTTCCAGAGATAAGTGAAATGAGAAGCGTGGGAGTGCCATGCCCCCTTTTCCATTACTTGCCCNGATGCAGCCTTTCCAATAATTAACACTTTTCGCCATAAGTACGGTATTGATAATATATGACGTTAGCGTAAGCGGTTCCAGAGATAAGTGAAATGAGAAGCGTGGGAGTGCCATGCCCCCTTTTCCATTACTTGCCCCTTTTCGCCATAAGCACGATATTGATAACATATGTAGCTTTGTCGAATTTCAGGACGTTAGCGTAAGCGGTTCCAGAGATAAGTGAAATGAGAAGCGTGGGAGTGCCATGCCCCCTTTTCCATTACTTGCCCCTTTTCGCCATAAGCACGATATTGATAACATATGTAGCTTTGTCGAATTTCAGGACGTTAGCGTAAGCGGTTCCTGAGATAAGCTATATGAGGGGCGTGGCATTTGCAATATATGCATCAGTGCTAAGTTCCAGTTCCCAGCGTAATATATTAGTTTTTTACGTTTTAGTCTGTATAAGAATTTTAGGAATATCCCGAGCTACATACCGAGTAAATTTTTGGTCGGAATATTTATTTTCAAGGTGCTGGCATATGCTCCATATATGAAGCAAGTCGGTGCCAAAAATATTTTTGCGAGTAAAATTTCCTAAACCCCTTCAGTTTGATACCCATATTGCCATATTCAATTTAGCTTATAAATTAAATTAAATTAAAATTTTCAAACAGGTGGTCATAGGACTCAGATGCATCCATGAGAGCATACGGCGCAGTTATGTATGTAAAATCAGTAGACAAATCGGGAAATATTAAAGTCAGTCTATTCGCTTCCAAATCGAAAGTAGCACCATTAAAAATTCAGACATTACCTCGATTAGAACTATGTGCTGCGATACTGTTTGTAAAATTAATGGAAAAAATATCAAAAGCACATAATCTAAAGGACAAGCATATTTATTATACGGATTCAACAATCGTCCTTAGTTGGCTACAATTAGATCCTGCAAAATTGCAAATATTTGTTTCGAATAGGGTAAACTTTATTCAGGTGCAAACCAAAGGGCTGCAAGGGAGACATATTTCCACAAAATCAAGCCCAGCTGATTTAATAACAAGAGGGGTATATCCAGAAGAAATAATTAATAATAGTCTTTGGTTTAATGGACCAATGCATTTAGCTAACATGGAATCATACAGGAAAAACATTGTCACGACGCCTCTAACATCGCTTCCAGATATAAAGAAAACTGCTATAACAGCTGGTGTTTTGGTAAGGAATGGCATCATTAGAGTTGGAGGACGTCTACAAGAAGGTAATATTCCAGAAGAAGCAAAACATCCTGCAGTACTTCCATATGAAGACACTTTAGTTAAAGTTTTGGTGGAGGGCATCCATCAAAAACATTTACATATAGGACCGCAAGGCCTTCTCGCAATAGCTAGGCAGAAGTTTTGGCCTTTAAAGGGCAGGCAACCTACAAAAAGAATTGTTAACAATTGCTATAGATGCTTCAGAGCAAATCCTCGTCCACTTTTTCAAATCATGGGTAATTTATCAGCAGATAGGGTAAGATGCACCAGTCCCTTCTTTAATAGTGGGGTTGATTTCTTGGGTGCTATACAAATTCACTAAAAAAGACGTGGTTGTACTGCAAAAATATACTCCGGAACAAATTTCATTGGGGCCGCAAATAGTTTACATGAAATTTATGTATTGTTTCAAAAGGAGCAACTCGTGATGTACACAACATTAACTGGCTGAATATACCAGCTCGATCTCCACACGTAAGAGGCTTATGGGAAGCCGCTGTCAAATTCGTTTTTAAAACTTACCACAAGCTTTGCACTTTGCAGTAGGCTCACCGTTGTCAGCTATCAAAAAATGAAACCATACAGAACCTATGTCGCCACATTTGGTTTTATGCGGAGCGTAATGCACCTTTGTTGAAGAATCTGAAATTTAATGTATAAACACTTTTAGTTCTTAAATATCTCCAGTAATTGTAAAAAAAAACTCTTACTCACATTAGCAGAAATGCAATTTCCCCAAAACCACGTGTTTCCAAGGCCAAGGCACGCGATTCCGCACTAAAATAGATCGTGGTGATCCACCTGGGTACCCTTGCGTTCAGCTCAGCTCAGCTCGTCGGATCGGGGTGCGGTTTTGTAGATCACTCAGATGTCGAATGTACCGCACCAATAATCAGAAAAAAGTTATCGAACCCGTACGGCCATAAGCCGACTGTTGATTACCAACGCCATATACTAAGCTCNGTAATTTCCGTGCGTCCGGGCGTTTATAAAAAATAGTTTTACGCGATTAACCAAAAGACAACAAGTGGGTTTGGGCTCTCGAATCAGACTGAATTAAATTATTTATTC